TTTGTTTACTAGGATATCTACTGAAATAAATTCTATGTTGGTGCTGAAAGTTTCTTGGATCACATTTTTATTAGCTAAAGGTAAATTCATTATGCTTATTTCATGATAATGTTTCAAATGTAATAGTTAAATTGACATTCTTTTGAACTAAATCCCCAAATTTTTATTCACACCCCTGTCCCACATTTAATGCCCACCCCACCCGCCCCATTCTCTGCGTGGCTTAACTGTTAGCAAGTTCTTGTAATTCTGGTATTGGAAACAACCTTGGAAATGTTTCATTTCATTTCTATTACTAATATTCCATCTTTCCTTCCTTCCTTTTTTTTTTGAGAATAATGAAGTTACTATTTTTATAAAAATGATATTTATTCATGATAAATAATTCAAACTATACAGCAAAGCACAAAAAATTACCCAAACCCAAGAATAATTATCATTAAAATTATGTGATTGTCATTCCAGATATATCTTTATATATACATTTTGATAAAAAAGATGGGTAGATGAGTGCATTCACAAACAGATATAATTTTCTAAAAATAGGATCATACTATAGTGTTACCTTTAAAATAAAAAAATTAATTTTATTCAAGTTTTACAGAGGAAAAAAAGTAAGAGAAATGGAAGGAAATTGGTTAAATTTAGATAAGTGTTTTGTCCCTTTAAGTTGTATCATTTTTAAAAATATTTCCTTAAGATTATGAAAAAGCATGAGAAAATGAAGAGGTTAGAATCTTTATTTAACTTTGTGTTTTGATTTAAAAACAGCATACATTAATCTGTTTTGAAGAAGGTAGTTAGTATCCTTATTCTTCCTGTCACCTCCCTTCTCCCCATTTTCTGATTGGTTCATTTTATTATTATCACATTATCAAACATTATAATATTTACATTCTGTTCTGTAATTATAATTATTATACTTGTTTAGTCTCAGTTCTGTATTTAAATGGATTCTAAGCTTATTATAACTCCTATATCATAGGTTCTTCATTTCTGAGTTTTTAATTTTGTTTCTTCTCTTAGCTGGCTGCATTTTACCATCAAGAAGTTGTTAAGATAGGCTTTCTGGGGTTGTGTTCCCTTTGGCATGTTTATGAATCATGTCTATAGCCTTTATACTTGAAGGACAACTTGACCCTGTATCCTATTCTTGGGTCGTGTTTTGTCCCTTAGGACAATATTTTCTGGCATCAAACATTGCTGTTGAGAAATCTGAGGCTCGGCTGGCCTGAGTGTAGTGGGGTTTACACCTAATTGATCCCAACCAGTTACAGATTTCTTTGTTCCTTCTCCACTCCCATTGCTTCACTTGACTAGCCTAAAAAAGAAAAGTAAAGCAATCTTAGGCCACCTTAATTTCCCCTCCTCGTTTACTTCCTGAATTCTTGTAGAGTTCTTTTTGTTTTAAA